AGAGAGAGAATTTTTAATATTTATTTATTTTTTTTTTTAGTTCTCGGCGGACACAACATCTTTGTTGGTATGTGGTGCTGAGGATCGAACCCGGGCCGCACACATGCCAGGCGAGCGCGCTGCCGCTTGAGCCACATCCCCAGCCCAGGGGATGCATATTTTTAAAGGAAGTACTCAAATTCAGAAGCCACCAGGCCTGAAGATGCAGTTAAAAAAAAAAAAAAACAGGCAAGTCAGAAGCATTTCCTCTACACATTCCATGAAAAGAGAATGGGAGAACAGGTGGTCATAAGGGGCATGAACTACGCAGGGGTCAAAGGAAGCCTGAGCTGAGGCTGCTGAGTGAGGCACACAAGGAGCCACAAGAACACCCAGGCCCAGGTCCAAAATGCAAGTCGGACAAAAGAGAGTCTTGGCAGGGAGGGAGGGAGGAGGGAAGGAGCAAGTGAATGGGGAGAGGGAAACCACTGGTGATAAATTCAGCAGAACACAGCGGGAGGAAGACTGGGGCGAACCTGAGAAGGAAGCAGAATGAAGGAAGGTTTTTTCCATGACAAGGAGACATGGTTGTAAGAAAACTGGGAAGGGACAGAAGTTTGGAGAGTTGAAAGTAAATCAGAAAATCAGACCCAGTGTCATCCGGAAAGCCTGCATTTCTCTGTGACATTTTAGACTCCCCATACCTGGCCATCCAGCCCAATGTTGGTAGTAAGTAAACAGGGTTTTCTTTGTTTAAATCACAGTATATTACAAACATACTTTTGTAAAACACAGTGAGAACGGCATGACACCATCTAATTGCTCTGAGAGTTCCTGATCTTTCTCTGGTTCTGTAATGATCTCACTGCACGTGGCTGAAGAGCTCCCGACCTGCAGACAACATTCTAAGCATCACTGATCCAGTTGACACTGCCTGGCAGTGGGGAGGGGACAGGGCAGCAGGCAGCAAGTCTACTTTCAGTCTTCCTGACATGAAAATAACATCACTCTCTAAGTTCCCTTCCCAATCTTTAGATTCTGCTGTTTATATAAAGGGAAGTCCACTCCCTCATGCACAGGATAGTCCTTCAAGTGCCTGAAAATGACTATTAGGTCCTTAAGGAGGATGTGCTCAGCCACGACAAGACCCCTAGTGCTAGCCCACCAGCTCTCTCTGGATGTGTCCCAGTTTGCCATCCTCCTACCAGGGAACATTTAATATGAGGAAGAGAGCAGCACTGTCCCTATCAGAGTTCTGGGTATCCACTCGGCAGCACGACAGTGGCCTATGCCTATGTGGTGCTGCTGATCGATCTGAGCTGCAGACAACTGGACCCCACAGCTACCACCACACAGCCTACTTCTAAGTCCCACTGCCTTTACTTCTGTATTTGTACTGGATTCTGGGGTCCAAGTACCACTCATATATTCAAAGATGTATTTATCGAACACTTCTTACGTGCCAAGCACTGTTCTAGATACCAAAATTATTTAGTGAAAGCCAGATAGAGCTCACTGTCTTAATTCTCTCTCCCTTACCTCTTGTACTCCAGCTACACTGGTCTTATTTCTGTTTTTCTACCATGCCAATCTCCCTCCTACCCCAGGACCTTTGCTTCCTTTATTAATTAATTATCCCCTCAGCATGATAGCAGGATGTCTGTCTTGACATGTGTATCCCCTGACTAGCGCAGCAGCCAGCACATAGCAGGTATATTCAATACATCTAAATGAACAAACCCCAAGAAAAACATCTTGCTAGTATGAACTCATCACTGTAGGTATGTACAATGTTTTGTAGATACCAATACTATCATCTAGCAGATCTGCTCACCCCTAAGCTTTGTGCCATTCTCAAACATCTCTCAGATAAACCTTTTTATTTGGGGGGGTGGGGGGAGACAAAGGATTGAACCTAGGGACACTTAACCACTAAGCCATGTCCCCATCCCTTTTTATATTTTATTTAGAGACAGTGTCTTGCTAAGTTGCTTAGGGCCTCACTCCCTAATTGCTAAGGCTGGCTTTGAACTCACCATCCTCCTGCCTCAGGCTCCTGAGCTGCTAGGATTACAGGTGTGTACCACCACTCCCAGCTCTCAGCTCAATTGTTTATAAAAAGAACTAAATAGAACAGTGTGTCACATAGAATCTGCAATCAACAGTTTCAAAGCTATTTTATAATTAAGCCCAAAACCGATAAAACATGTCTTGTGAAAAACTATTGTTAAAGGAACTAGCTATGAACTACTTGTGAGAAGATGAAAACTATTTTCAAATATTTGAAGAAAAGTAGAAGAAAGTTATGACTTTCGAGTCTTAAACTCAAGAGAGAGAACACCTCTTTTGGTGGTACTAAGATGGGGGCATATTTCATATGGGGCATATTTCATGAAAGCATATTTTAGCTAATTAGGAAGATCAATGGGGTCACCATTTGAGCTATCCAAAGAGGAAATGATATGTCAAGTCTTCAGCAGGCAAACCCCTCATTACAGAAAGCATTCAAACACAGGCTGGACAGTCACCCATTTTAAAGTACATGGAATAATTAAACCATTAGAAAAAAGGAGCTTTAAAGTTTCCTCTGAGCCTGAAATTGCAATATTCCCTAAGTACAGGAGTAAAGACTAGAAACTAATGATCAAAATTATGATCCTAAGTATCAACATAAGATCAAATGAACTCCATGTGCTCTGGTCTAGGTTTCCAAAGTCACATAGAAACCACACAAGGCTGGCTCCCTCCCACAGAGTCTTATCTGTCCATCCATTTGTTTCAATATTTATTGAGTCCTACTATCTGCAGAACACTGTGCTAAACAGTCCAAAGCACTGCTGCCCAACAGAACTCTACATCTGCTCTGTTCAGTACAGGAGGCGCCATCCATGTGGGTCTGTTGAGCACTGTTGAGAGCCATAGCCGAGTCGGGTTGGACCATGGCATTTTGCCAGAAGGAGTGCTGTGACTGGATGATGCTGGATTGAAACAGGCTATGTATTGAGTTGTATATGGACCCTGCAATTCGGCAACAGGAGGGCTCCTGCTGCCTGCCGCCCCCACCCCCACTACTTTGGAGTTCTCGTTGAGTTCTCAGGGGGTTCCCTGCTAAGTTTGCACTGAGCCCCATGGAGAACAGGGGATTCCCGGGGAGTGCACGTGGAGTGCTGGTGGAGTTCGGGCAATAAAGGAGTTCCTGTTTGARCCTACAAGTGCCTCATGGCGGCTCAGTTATTTTATGCCCAGCCAGACTATGGCAGAGTACCTAAAATGATGCTTGTGCAACAAAAGAACTGAATTTTTCATTTTACTTTAATTAATTTAAATAGGTCCTGATACTACATTCTTAGCATACAGGTACTACGATGAGAAACACCGTTTTCATTACAAAGGAAAACAACTTAAAACTTCTAAAGTAAAACAAAAACAACCCAAAAAAATGAGCCCGATTTAAAAAAAAAAAAAAGAATTATAAAGGTTCATTTTAAGAGCATTCCAATTAATTGAAAATTTAAACTTCTTTTTGTTGAAGTCCTAAAAGGAACAGAATACTCAATGCATGTTCAAAACTAGGAAAATGTAAAATCCTAGGGATTTTGAGGGGCAGAAACTGTTTCTTTACTGTTATCTTGCCATTCCCCCTTCCCTACCAACTCAGTACCCAAGAAATGCTGCCTGGCTCTTACTCGTTCCTCTTTGGTGTAGAGTTGGAAACACTGGGATAAAGTGCAGGTCTGAGGTTGATGATGCCCCTCCTTCTGCAGGCGGACACTTTCTGCATCTGGGATATACTCATCTTCAGTGTTTACAAATAAGCTACAATTAAAGGGAAAGACATTATCACAGAATGTCTTAAAACACGGACACAAAAGTACAATTATTACAGTTTTACAAAGTGGCTATGAATTCATAACCATGAAGATGGAGGTGTAAGAAAGCAAAGGAGGTCATCTAACTCTTCTATGTCCCAAAGTGTTCTTGAAAAAGTTTTCCATCTGCAAGTTATTTTAAGAACTAAGTTGGAGTTAGTTTTTCTGGGGCTGTCCATGACTTGCGCCATTAAATCATGTATTCTTGTCCTTCATCTCTAAGGGCAAGCATTCGATAAAGCTTATTAGAGAAGAGGGACTTCTAATAAAAATCAAATTGGACCTATACAGTAGTTAATGAATATATGGTTTCTCTCTCAGTAGTAAATAAATGTTCAAAGGCTTTAAGGTTGGGAAAAATGTATAAGAAAGAAATATTAAGCTGCTTAAATAAAGGATTAACAATATGCTTAGATACTGAAGAGACGAAAGCTCTGTATTTTAGCTAATTTGGAAGATCAATGGGGTGCTCCTAAAATAAAACAATTCTATAAATATTAAGTAAAAGAATACTCACAAATCTTTTGTCTCCTTGTCCCATTCTACCACTAACTTCACATGAGCAGTGCCACCTGGTCCACAAGATTTTAATGCCCTATAGAATGGGGGAGAGAAGAAGCTCCAAGTTGCTATCTTTAAAAAAAAAAAATTATTTTACTTAAATATGATTATGGCCTATCTACAATCATAAAATTGCTAAAAATCTTCACAGTTCCCCCAGAAGAAAAAGATTTTAGTGACTCCATTACAACCATAGGTTTAGTAAATAGTTTACAAGTGGGCTAAAAAAAAAATCTTTAAAATATCCAATACAGAAATAATGGAAGAAATAGATTAGAAGAAATTTAGTAACGCACTATAAGGCTGTCTGCAGTTACTCTCGGACATTCTATGTGACCTTTCCAGCTCTTGCCCGACTCCCCACCAACCTGGGGAGAGCTGACCTCGCACCTCTCYACCTGTTCCACACCATGCGCCTACCCTGTGCCTTCTTCTTCCCTCCTTCATAAAGCCACTACCCCAGTTCACTGGACTCGTTCACCTTCTGAGAAACTCTTTCAGCAGTCACTGTTAAATCACTCAACAAATCTTTTTTTATATTGTTCAATATTTTTTATTATTATCTTATCTATTAGTTCCCATTCTCTAAAACCAACAGGGAGCCTTCAAATAGCAATGTTATGTACCTTTTGAAAATCTTGAAATGTAGGCACAATTTCTTTGTTAAAAGAAATGATAATAAAGACAATGTGAGTTTTGATATTTATATATCCATATGTATATGATGTATTCACATATCCATTATTTTATTAGTAGACTACTGTAAACATAATAGAAGGATGTAGAAAGTACAGAAACAGCATGGAACAGCGACTAACTAAGAGAAAGAGGAACAGCATAAAGAAACTTTAAAGAAAAGGCACTATGGACAGCGGAAGTCACACTTGAGAAGGGACACACACAGCATGGTGCTGCGTGCGCAAATGCTCCTTGGTACTCTGGTACTGAGGAAGGCTTGGGGTGGAAGGGAAAGGAAGAGCAGGACCCACAAAACAGAGGTCCTCAGAGTCCTGGCTGTGGAGAATCTGGCATCCGGTGAAAGCCAGCCTTCACCTCGTAGGCCACAAGTCACCACTGAAGGGCTTCAAGGAGGAGCGAGGTGTGACTAGCACACTATTTTGGAAAACTTCAGTCTTGGTGAATAGGAAACTGTAATTTGTTTTCCTAACATGAATATTCTGTGGCTTTTCTGATTTTAAGGAAGATCCATAAAATGTTTCATACTCACGTGTGAATCAGAACTGAAATAAGTACAGTTTCTTAGTGAGCTTAAAGAATATAACATGGGATTATACCAAACATCACATGTGAGCATAGGTGAAATTATGGAAGGTGAATTTTTTTTTCCTCTTTACCTTTCTACTGTTGGGTGGCACAGGGGCTGYTCCTCCTGGGGCAGCAAGTATGTAATTCCCACAACACTGACCACTCGCAAACTGAACGGACACACCTGCGTCAAATATTAAATGAAAATTAGGATGACTTTCTCTTCATAGGCATGTTTTACAGTGGCATTTCCAAACAGGTTAGAGGTACAGCAAACTGTTTTGCAAAATGCTTCTCTATGACATTCTGTTAGGCTGTTGAGCCACTCAAATACACTATTAAATATGATTTAACCAAATGCAATTTATATACCAAATGTCATACAAGACAAATAATACACTGCTCTCGCTGAACATTAACTTAATGGTCTTCCATGGGTGCCTGAACATAGTAATCATTTTTAAAATATACAGATGGTTATGCAACTTCTCCAAACTTTATTAAATAAATTTTATAAAGGAATATACAGCAGTTCAGGAAAGCTTGCAATGACCAACTCCATTCATAAAATGAGAAATAAGTTCTCAGTCTTAAAAATCTGAACAAAACAAATTCAAATTCCATTGTAATGACTGTTTCTTCACTGTGTAGACATGCACACTCTGCTAGAATATCAAAATGCCTACAAACCTGAATGCAAACAGTAGGCCTCAGGAAATACTTCATCTTCTCCAAAATTTTCTTCTGCAGAAGGTCCCATGCTATCGTCTTCTCTAAGTGCAGCACAAAAGGCAGTCCAAATCTACCAAACAGAAACACTGGCATCACCTTAAAAGTATGGCAATTCCTTTAATGGCCTAACTCCTTATTCTTCATCTTTTAAAATGGAATGACAACATAATTGGTTTTAGGACAGTTCTCAAATCAGAACAGACAAGTCAACAGTAACTGTCATAAAGAGAAGATGACAAAGTCAGAAGTGCAGCCTCGATTTCTAAGAAAACTCAACAGCCTCCATGCCAAGTGACTCCAGGGAAGCATGATGCTGGGCTACCAGGCATCCAGGGACAGGGTTGGCAGGGATGGTGAGAAAGGGGATGGGAATGAATAAGAATCTGGCAAACAGTGTGGGTCAAGCCTACAAGGAGGTGCCAGAGGAGCAGGCAGGGCTGGAAGGCCCAACAGGCAGGCAGCCGTGTCCTGGTAGCCTCTGACAACAAGAGAGGCACTGGCCAGCAAGCCACACTGAAAGTCAGCACCCACCTTAGGCTAGACACCACTTGGCCTCTGCCAGGTTCTGTGTCCTGGAGAATCAAAGGCAGCTCTGTGGTTCTCAGCCTCAGATGCACAGTGAAATCACCAAAGGACTATCAAAAAATAACGATGCCTAAGTCCAGTCCACAGAGATTCTGATGACATCAGTCTGGAATGTGGCCCCAAACACTGAGATTTTCTCAGAAGTTTCCCAGGTGGTTCTAGTATGCAGCTGAAGTTGAAGGTCACTGACCCAGCCTCAACTTTCACCTACATCCAGAGTCATTCAAACCTATGTGCTGATCCCTGACTGTGTCCAGCTCCACATGTCCAGGTCTCTGTGCAGGCCACTCCCCAGCTTAGAACACCCTTCCCACCCTTCTCTAGGCTGTCTTCTACTCATACCCATGAACACACCCTTCTCCAGGTAGCACCTGGTTATTTTCTCCCTATGTGTGCCATAGCACTAACTACACCATGCTGTAAATACTGTGTTTCCGCCTCCACCAATGGACTGAGTTATCTGACAACAAGAACTGTTATTGATTTGCCTTAGTAACCTAAACCAACCATGCCTAAAAATAGTAGATGATGAATGAAGGAATGATCAATCAACCTAGTTACCAGGGGAGCTCTAAGGCCAAGGCTGAAGCAGAGATAAAAGATCACTGGGAAACTCATTCCTAACAAGTCATGGAGCTGTTTACCCGCAGTACTACTTAACAGTGAACCTACCCTCCTGAAAACAACTGTGGTGTGAAATGGGCTCCAAGAAACTCCATTATGAGGAGCTGCCTTTTCTCCCAAGCTTTAAACAGCCTCCTACAGTGTCCACTCGAGGTGTTCCTGCCACACAGGATCTTCACACAGCCTGCTCCTTCTCACAGGGACTGGGCTCAGCTATGGCCTCCTGGGGCCACCTCCCGGCTGCCTTTCCAGTGCAGAGCTGCGGCCTCTCCTCACTCACATCCTCTCACTCTAACCTGCGCTGATGTCTTCAACACGGTGCTAACTGTCTCAAGCTTAATGTGTTGTTCACTTGCTTAAGGCCAGCCTGGCCCTGGGAGTGCAAGCCCCCTGAGGACACAGCCCTGTCTGTGTTGCTCTCCGCTGGATTCCTAGGGTTTGGAACAGTGCCTGACACTAACACTAACACCTTTGTTAATGAATACGATCAATATACACATTAGCACATTTCACATCAGTGGTATTTACCATCCAAGGTACTTACCTTTCTGGGACAAAGCTACTTTAAAAGATAGTCTAAAGTTCCCATAAATCCTTAGGGCAGCAAAAGAAATCTGAGGGAGATTTCTGAGTTCCAAATTTCTGATTTGCAAAGCTGAGTGAACAATTGTGCCATCTGCCACAACAGGAGATACTGGAGGACCGGTATCATGGGGAAAGATAAAATGCTCAGCTTGAGACCTAAGACTGGGGGGCAGGCACTACCAAAGTAGATAAATTAAGGGTTGGTTTTTAAAAAGCTATTAAGAAAGCAGAACTGCAACTGGCCAGTAAAGCTATGAAATAATGTTCAACATCCTTAGCAATCAGGGAAATGTGAATCAAAACTACACTGAGATTTCATTTCACTCTAGTGAGAATGACAGTCATCAGGAATATAAATAATAACAAATGCTGGTGAGGATGAGATGGGAAAGGAGCACTCACACACTGCTGGTAGATTATAAACCACTATGCAATTGAGCACAGAGGTTTCTCAAAAAACTAGGAATGGAACCACCATAGACCCAGCTATCCCACCCCTCAGTATTTATCCAAAGGAATTAAAGTCAGTAACTATAATAACATATGCACACCCTTGTCTAGCAGCACAATTCACAATGGCCAAGTTTCGGAACCAGACTGTGTGCCTATCAATAAATAAAGAAAATATGGTGTGTGTGTATATATATATGAAGTTTTATGCAGCCATAAAAGAACAAAATTATGTTATTTTCAGGAAAATTAATAGAATTGGACACGAAATAAGCCAGACTCAGAAAGTCAGGATCATGTGTTTTCTCTCATATGTGGAAGCTAGAAAAAAAGGAAGGAAAAAATTTTATGAAAATAGAAAGGAAACCAGTGGACTAGAAGGTGGGGATCAAGGGAGGGAGGAGAGGGAAAGGGAGGTGCTGGGCAATGAAACTGACCAAATTCTGTTATGTGCGTGCACAGATACATCATAATGAACCGTACTGTTTTCTACAATTATCATGTACCAATTAAAAAGGAAAGGACAATCTGGATACAGGTCCAGCATCCTAAGAGAGTCTGAACTAAAATATTCATATAAGCCTTCAAAACCAGATGAGCTGTAACAGGCTTCCTAACTCACATCATAATCTTTTACTCCCCCTCCCACTGAATCAGGTCAACTTACACAAATATTCCTGCTAAATGTAAGGCTTCTCACCCTGCTTTTTTTAAACACTTAAAAGCAGCAAACTTGAAAGCTTCAGCACTTATTGGAAATTAAGCTGGCCTTACCTCCTCCCCTGCTGCCCGGTGCAGGCTCGGTTACACACCAGCACAACAATCTTGTCACTGCCTGCTCTGGTGGTGGGCAGGTCCATTTCCCCTTGCTTTGCTGCTGTTTGTGTAGAGGAAGACAGTCTATGATGATCCAAGCCAAACTTCAAGTGATTGAGATTGTTGTTTAAGTGAATTCCTGAAATAGAATAAAAACTACTCTTTTTACCTCTTCAAAATAATTTTCATTCATTCATGCATTACAAAGACATTTACCCAACAGAAAAAAAAAATGTCATTTTAAATTGCAAGTTCAAGGTCAACCTCAGTAACTTAGTGAAGTCCTAAGCAGCTTAGTGAGACCCTGTCTCAAAAAAATAAAATTAAATTAAAAAGGCTAAAGGATGAACTCAGTGCCCCTGGGTTCAATCCCCAATACTTTCAAAAAAACTAATTTAAACTACAATTGAAAATAGGAACAAATACTCTCCTGTGAAATTACTCTGGTAGACTTTAAGGAAAAAAATTTAGCATCTATTACTTTCTTTAAATTAGCCTTACCTATCTTAAAAACTGAAAATCAAAATTCTCCACTTCAATGAATGTTAGATACAATTTCAGAAGAATAAATTTGCAGAGATAATCCAGCAATAAAATTTAAAATGAGCCCCAGCAACCAAATAAATTTTAAAAACTAATAATAAAGACAAGAACATTTGAAATGGTCTATAACGTTCCAATATCAGTTTCTTTTATTTGGTGGGGGGCAAGGTACTGGGGATTGAATTCAAGGGCACTGAACCACTATTTTGTAAGCTACATCCCCAGCCCTATTTTGTATTTTATTTACAGACAGGGTCTCACTGGTAGTTCCTCTCCATTGCTGAGACTGGCTTTGAACTCGAGATCCTCCTGCCTCAGCCTCCCAAGCCTCTGGGATTACAGGCACGTGCCACTGTGCCCAGCCCAACAGCAGTTTCTCATCCCTGATTAGTACAAGAAACAAGACCCAAAGTCGTTCCTGATTATTACAAGAAACAAGACTCTCATAATGATGAGAACATGCCAACTTTAACAAAATCAACTGGACTGAATCAACTCACATTAAAGTTAACAAAAATAGATGTATGGCAGACATAGTACTAGTCTCCACAAGGTCCTAAAGCAGACCTCCCTGTCAATTAGAGCTAGCCTGCACAAGGCCCTGCAGCAGGTCAATAAATACTGCCTAAATATAGTTCATTTCTTTAATCCGTTGGAAGTATAGAGTCTAGTAAAATGATGGAGAAGAAAGAAGCCACTCCCACCACCATCATAAATAATAACACTACCATCAGAAGAATAAAATTCAAATGGCTGCACAAAATTATTCACAGCAGAATTCTGATAGTAACTTAAATATCCAACAATACAAGATGTTGTTGAAGATATATTAGCATGATAGCAATTTGAAATTATGACTACATAATTAATACCAAAATAACAGGATGACAAAAAAAATTACAGACACTAGAAATAAAAAAAATTGAATCTTTATCAAGCTATTAGAGGGAAGAAAACTTTTTAGGCTTCTGAAAGTTCTGTCCTCTGACCCCAAGGCTGGCTAACTCTTGCTTTTCTGTGCTCCCATTGCTTTCTGAACATAACACCATAAAGAAATCACAAAAGGAACAAGAGTTGATTTCACTTCATAACCATCGTGAACTTTGGTATGAGAATAAAAGATATTAGAAATCTGAATTTGAAACAATGAATGACCTCCTTTCCAGGTTCTTGGCAGAGGTCAGGGTGGGAAGACTTAGGTCACTAGAAGCAGTCAGAACCATAATGAGATAAGAGAATGCCACTCAACTAAACAGAAATCAAACTAGGTGTTCAAATTATGGACCCATCTCCTACAGCCATGTGACCTGGGGCCAGTTACTTCACTGCTCTCAGCCACAGCCCCCTCCTAAGCAGAGTGAGGAAAGCAGATGCCTCACATGTGCTGGGCCAAACATTCGTAAGGTCTTCAGAAGCCAAAACACACGTGATAAATTTGGACTTAACAAATTCACTTCAGAATAGACACATAGTGTTAATCCTAAACAACTGGGGATGGGAAAGGGAATTTGGGAAAATGTTCAGTTGAACAATCATTAGCTGGGCTTTTGCTGCATATTAGGAATTGCTGTGTATAAAAAAATGAAGCAAAGAGTGGTCACAACTCTTGTAAGTCACATTGTAGTTTTGGGGTTAAATTATAAGAATTCTTTGTAAGAATTCTTATAATTCATCATACTGGAAAAGAGAGGAGAAAACAGATCATTTCCACACACACGCTAGCTTAAGAGATAGCAGAAGCAATGGGAACACAGAAAAGCGGGAGTTAGCCAGCCTTGGTGTCAGAGGACAGAACTTTCAGAAGGCTTTCTGAACAGGTGATGACTGGGTGTTTTTACTGTAATGTAATAAAATTAGAAAATAATTTAAGTAAACGAAAGCATATGAATGAAAATGCAACAACTGGAAGAAAAGAAAGTTCCTGCGTCAAAGAAGAATGAAAACTGAAATAACAGAGTACCTGAAAATAAAATAAGCAGGGGCTGGGGTTGTGGCTCAGTGGAAGTGCACTCATCTGGCACGTGTAAGGCACTGGGTTCTATCCTCAGCACCACATAAAAATAAATAAATAAATAAAGGTATTGTGCCCCACTAAAACTAAAAAATAAATATAGATAGATAGATAGATAGATAGATAGATAGATATAGAGAGAGATATAAACATCAGTGGGCCAGACAAAATTAAATACGAAGCTGGCAGTGGAAAGAGCTTACCACCTAATACTCAGAACCACCACTTATTAATACTCTTATGTATCACTGAGGAACACAAATTCCTGTTGCAATGAGATACAGAACAACAGTAGGTCTGGTGGTAACACAAGAAGTGATTTCTGAATAAGTATGAAGACAAATCTTAAAAAGGTGTGTAACATGGTGCACCTATGTTCTCTGAGTAAATTAAGAAAACAAATTTTTAAAAGGTGCATAACATAGCCTTTAAATAGAACAGAAATATTAGAACACTCATGCACAGACAACTGGAGACTACAAGTAGCTTAAAGTAAATCTCCCCAGTGGGGAGAGAAAGCTGGTGCGGCAGGCACCATGGAGGAGTGTGGAGAACTGTGTGCAACAGGCAGTTGAGCAGTCAGATGCTCAATAAAGAGGAATAAGGTCTGGGGTTCAGAAAGATTATTGGCAGAGAAATAGGGATTTGACTGAAAGCAAGAAAAACAACTGTCAGGCAAAACTTAAAGAAAATCTGAGTGGACAGCACTGTGTGCACTTTCTCACAATTAAAAAATATTTATAACATGATATTATATCTGAAAGGGGAGACAGTTGTCAGGCCTGAGAGCTCAGGTAACGGCATGGAAACAGGTGCTCCTTTACCTCTTTGACTGAGAATTCCTTCAGGCCGAAATATTTCTGGAGTCTCAAAGGCAAAAATGCAGTCACTCTCATGGACTGTCTCCAGGTCGTCTGTATCACAAAAGGAACGGTGGAACCCATCATAGTACATTTCTGTCAACACAATCTGAAATGTGGGGAAAATAAAAATAGTTGGGTGGCTGGAAATTCAATACAAAATGATCTTCTAATTCCACCATGAACTTCTCTGGACCATCAAGACTTGGCAGCGCTCTGAAAAGGCTCTGAAATATCCCGCAGGCCCTCATTGTTGCTTTCAGTGAGAGCATCTTAGAAGCACAATATCACCTATGACTGTGTGACAATGCAGACTGTTTCAGAAATCTATGGCATTAACCCAGAGTTCCTTTAGGTTTTGGTGCAAAAGAGAGCCAGGAGACTCTATGTCTAACCCTCTGGTTTTACAGAGGAAAGAGAGGCTGAGAAACCCACCTAAGGATGCACAACTATTCCATCTCATGCCAAGAACAGAGTTCACAACTGACTGTAGCATCTGCTCCCTCATCATTAAATTTCCCCCTTTTCAGATTGAAAATGTCAAATAATCCCGGACATCAGGGGGAAAATGAAATCAACTCAAATGTCCAATAACAGTCACTAATGAAATATATTATAGTTCTACTAGAATTATAAAGCTACTAGAAAAAGAATGAGCACATATATTTGCACTATCAAGGAAAAAAGTAAGGTTAAAAAAAAGTTATGTATAAACAATGTTTTTATAAAATAATGTAGCGTATGCACATAAAAAATCTGAAAGAACACTATGTAACAGTACTAAAGTTAGTACAGTACAGGAAAATATTTAGTATTGGGATACTTCCACTTTCTAAGTTGTACTTCTGAAATGGTTAAGTATTTTACAGTGAAAGAGAAAAACAAAAGATAAGGGGAAAACAATGAAGACATTTAGTGCCTCTTTACAGGCTCGGCATCATTGTCTGGTAAAAAAGCACTGGGTTGGGCAAGAGAAGGTTCCTGTCCCAGCCTGCCACCAACCAGCCCTGTGACTTTGCAGAAATCACATGGTTTCTCTTGGCCTCCTTCAAATGGGGCAAGGGGGAGGTTGCACTGCACCCCTAAGGTCCCCCATCAGCATTAACGTTCTTCAGTCTATGAGGTGAAAGGAGCTGGTGACCTACTCTACAAATAGCCCAGGGAAAATGTTCCTGGCGGGTTTCCTTCTAATGAATTCATTGGCCATGCTGTTTTTCTGCTGGTGAACACGCAAATATAATTTCCTCTCCCCAGCAAGCCGAGGTCAACGCAAACTGTAATTATTTCACCAATTTGAACCACATGCACAAAGAGCCAGACAGCACTGAAGCTTTAAAGATGCAACCAGATTTTCTCTGGACCCCATCAAAGTCTCTCTCCCTCCCTCTCCCTCTTTCCCTCATCCTGGAGGGGAAAAAAGAATCAATGAGCTCTTCAGAGTAAGGAAGAATATGAACATTTTATCAATGTGCCAGTTCGAGGCCTATGAAAATATGAGAGATTTGCTATATTGGGGCCACACTGCTGGTTGTGTTTGTTTTACTGTGGTAACTTCCCAACCAAGGCCACATGAGGCCAGACTACAAAACACCTTTATTGTTCAAGTGATTACATAGTGGCTTCCAGAAGCTATCTAGGGAAAAGTTGTTTAGCTATGAAGTCAAATCTTAAATAAGGGATGTTTTTCCAAATGAAATAATAATAGTGAACTGAATAAAAACTGTATGTAAAAACATGTCAAGTCATAAAGAGGCCAAAACATTTTAGGTCATTTAAACTTTAACTACTTATCAAAGATACACTCCCCCCAAAACAGAATCACAACTTTCCCTTATCTCAACAAGTAAGAGACCCTGGTCCAGTTATAATAAGAAAACAAAATAGGGTTGAAGGAGTAGCTCATTGGTAAAGCACTTTGTCTAGCATGCAGGAGGCCCCGGGTTCAACCCCAGGATTTGGCAGGGGGTGGGGGTGAAACACACTGAGTATGTACTGTGAGCAGGACATGATACCAGCAAGATGTCCATTATCATCACCATAATGGGAAGAGGTGTTCTAGAGTTCTCTAAGCCTATTTGATTATCAAACATCACAGTAATGTTCTTCTATTGTTCACATACACAACCGTAAGAATTTAGGAGGGATTAAGTAATTATACTATATGAACAAAGCTAAAGAAGGTCTTGATGTAAAATATAAGCCTTTCCTTTCAAATATACAAACACACAAATATACATATACATACACATATGTGTGTGTGTGTGTGTGTGTGTGTGTGATTAAATGAAGGATGAAAAGTTTTCTATACATTTTATTCTTATGGGTCTTGATTTCTTTTTCCCCCTCAGACTACATGTAACTGGTTTTAAATATCTAAGTGACCATATTTGGCAAAGAATTATAAAAAATTTCAGAGAAACAGAATCAGCACCTTTGTGGCTCACATGCAGTGGGTCTTGGCAGCATTATTACCTGATCAGTGGGGATCTTTGTTTCCACAGACACTGCTTCCCGAAGTCTGGCAACAGTCCCAGACAGAGGCACAGCCACACCAATCCTCATGCAGTGAGAACATTTCCCTTGATACACTACAGTGACATAGAGAGGCCTGTACAGATCAAAGTCAGATCTTCTCATTAGTCACTTATTTTAACTAAATATAGAAATAAAATAGACCTGATCTGAAATCTACCCAAAAACTGAAGCAATCCCTACCTCTTTTTAGAAACTGAATTTAAAAAGTTCATTTGGACCTAAGTAGAACTATCAAAACAACAATCAAGAGATCTTTGGAGAGCCAGGAGCAGTGGCACATGCCTGCAATCCCAGCAGCTTGGGAGGCTGAGACAGGAGGACTGCATGTTCAAAGCTAGTCTCAGCAACTTAGTGAGGCCCTAAGCAATTCAGCAAGACCTTGTCTCTAAATAAAGTATTAAAAAAGGGCTGAGAATGTGGCTCAGTGGTTAAGCGTCCCTGGGTTCAATCCCCAGTACCTTAAAAAGAGAGAGAGAAAAGGCAATATTGGCAATTTGGAAAAAGCAATATTCATAAAACAAAACTGAACAATGCTTGATTCTGTCTTTTGTATTTCCTTTGAAACAACCTAACTCCTGGAAGTTTTGAGGAACATTGTCCTAATTACAAGGACAATGCAAAGTCTCCAGAGAATTTAGAAGTCAATCAACATTCCTCCTCCTTCCCCATACTGTCTGTGAATGACCAGCTGAACCTGAGGCTCACCTGAAAACTTAGGTACTTATTTCTTTAAGGAATTAATAAAGCATGTATTAAAATTATCATTAAATTTATTATTTGCCTAAATAAGTAAAAGATGTAATAGCAGTTTATAGAGGAAAAGGTATACTATCAGAGTGTACAGTCTTAATTTTACAAATCTATTCTTACCTTGTATGGGGTAGAGGAATTGGCAAAGAAATGCAGAGGAAAGGATCAAAAGTGTTGCTCTGTTTCTGACAATGAGGACATGTCAAAGAAGATCTTTGAAAACAAAAACGTAAGATATTCACATTAAGATCACCTTGAACTATGTCAAAATATGAGGGAACATTTGCTTTGTTCATACCTGTACTGGGCTTGAAAAAGTTCTTGTACAAAAGTGCTACACACAGGAAAAGATGGTCCCTCGGGCATGCCATCAGTCTCTGATGGAGGCTAAAAAAGAAAAGTACAATTCACAGACTAGAAGTACCAAGTTTTTATTGAAGATTAATCTAAAAAGTCATAATTACCTTAATTTCTTTTATAAGCTACATATCATGTCCAGATACTTCAGTGACAGGCACCTGTTAAAGGAGCCAAAGCATAGCAAACAGCGTGTAGGTCACATGGACCCATCTCCTTAGACAGACCAGGTTTCTCTACCTCCAGCCCATTCAGGGATGGGGCAGCTCTTCTTCCCCAGTATGCTCCAATCTCCCTCCAACTCTCAAAGCACCCCAACCCGCAACCTCTTCCAAGAAAAAAAGCTCAACCACTTTGAAAGGACCRTTCTCCCCATGCCTAAATTCTAGTGCAGCTATTAGCTGGGCTATTCATTCTGAAGCCTAATCACATTCTACTTTTCATGTCCCTCCACCTAAGGACTAGCTATTGAGCATTTACTACCACATGCAGAGCACTGTACAGAACCTCAGAACACAAATGTAAATAAGACACAGTGACCTTGAAGAGGTCTCAATTTGGTGGGAGAGACAGCAACATGCATAAAGTCATATGACAGCGTAGAGTGTGTAGGCACAAAGGGATCTTGATCAGAATAATTTAATAACCTACCAAAACTAGAAATCTGAAATTTGAAACAGAGCAAAATTAGCAAAAACTTTTAAAAGTTGCTTTGGAAAGTATCTCTTTAGTCTTAAACTGTTTTCATTATATACATCATAGTACCTATCATATTAAGGCTACGTGTATTAAAAAAAAGGAGTACGACCGTCATGTTTCTCAGTAAGACCATTCTGGAGGATCAGTTCCTATGCTCAAAGCCAATTCCAACAGCTTCCATAATTTCCTTTTGGATTGTGTGTTTGTTCTAATGATGCCGAGTATGTTTTATTGGAGAGCAAATGTTTCCACTCTCATTAAACAAGGATGTGAGCAGAGACCACTTCTCTTGTGCCTTACACTGCCACACAGTAGCAAATAAGATGGAATATTCATGAAAGGATCCACTTAATTTTATACTCACCCAGCGTTTAGTCAATTTCATTTTATTAACTAAATGCAACAAGTCCTCAGTGGAGGCTGGGGAGAAAAGGTTGCACTGCTCCCTGACTGAAGCAGGGGAGTGCAGGTCCTCACCTTCAGAGGAGGCTGGCCGCTCTGCTTCACAGCATGATTGAGGTCTTCATGAACTCGGTCCAAAAGCCACAGCAGAAACTCCTGGGCATCATGCTGGGAATTCCCCCGATACTGCAGCGCGTTCTTTGACACAATACTCTACACAAGTAAATAAATCAGCATGAACAGGTGTAAGCTCCTGGCTTTAAAGAGAAAACTATTTATCATAATTTCAAAAGAGGAATGCAAGAGCCCAAAGATGCTGAAGATTACATCCCAGAAGGGCAGCACTGTAAAATCAGATGCTTAAATGTAAAAACCTCATCCCAGAAATATAACCAAGAACTTTAAAATGCACCTTAACCAGCAATTCTACTTTTAGAATACATTTAAAGGAAACAACTGAAACAGCATGCCAAAACTATGCAGACTTTCATCAGGGTTTAGGATAGCCAATGTTTACAGATATCACTTTTTTGTTTCAAACTTTAGAGTAAGATGTATTTAAATTGACTTTTCTAAAATGCTAAATAAACTTTTTTGTAAGATATTACATTTTCAAGATTCATCACTCATTCAACACAGATTTAATAAGTGGCCAAGGTACCTACAGCCTGGTGAGGGAGCCAGGGCAAAGTCAACGCTTAAAGTACAGCATGACATGCACGTGCTGGCACAGCGAGGAGGGGGCAAGGCTGTCAGAGGTGCTACGTGAACTCATGCTCTACGCTTGAATGGGTCTCCGTGTGTACTTCCTAGCTCTGTCACTGGAAGGGCACAGGAGCAGCTATGCCCTCACAACACCTGTACAACCAGCACCTAGACTGCCTCCCAATGTCATTCTCTAATTTAAAAAAAAAAAACAAATACTAGGGTTTCTTGGAGAAATGGTTGCTTCTAGGGCTGAGATGGGCATGTTACAGGGATGCAGGAACCAACCCAAAGAGCCCCCAATGGCCAAAGTTGGAACCATTTGAGCAACAAAATAAATAACAGCGATTATAATCCAAAGCATAACATAAGTGAATCTATACTGATATAATTAAATGAATAAATAAATAATTCCTCCTAACAAAGGAACTGCAATTAATTTATGTTGATAATCTCTCCTCCACAGGTGGAGTTTACCACCCCCTACTAGGGGTGGGCTGTAACTGTGACTTGCCTCCAAAGACTTGAGTATGGAAAGAGGGGTAGGAAAGAAGCTGAAAGTCAGGACCCAGCTAGCCCTGCGCAAGGTTGGCATCATCAGTGGCGGGTCCTGCTGCTGTGTGCGCCCTTGATATGATGTAATGGGAGAGCACTTCACCCTTGTGGCTTCTTTCCAGAAACCCATAGCCTCATCTAATCATAAAAAAATTAAATAAAATCAGACAAAACCCAAATTGAGGGATATATGAAAATAAAATTAACTGGTGCTTCTCAAAACTACCAGGGTCATTAAGGAAAAGGCAAATCTGAAAAATTGTCACAGATGAGAAGAAACTAGAGACACTACAACCAAATGCAGTGTGCTTGCACACATGGGGTCTTGGGCCAAGGGAACAACTGGTGAAATCCCACTGAAGTATGAAATTTAGTCAAGAGCAACATGCCAATATTCGTTTTCTAGTTGCACTACAATGACACAGGCCATTAACAACAAGGACACTGGGTGTGTGGACTTTCCGGGTACTCTTTATGCCATCTTTGCCAGTTTTCCTTTAACTTTAAAACTATCCTAAAATTTAAACTTTTACTTAAATATGATTATATATATTTTTTATAAATATAAAGATGGCAGTTGTGCATACTGGGTGTCATGGGAACAAAACAGGAGCAAACTAAGGAACAGGACAGTGATGACATTCCAAAAGGAAATGTCACTTAAGCTGGGCCTTGAAGGATAAAGGCAGGATCTCAAGGCAGAGGAAGCAACATGTCCCAATACACAAAGGTATAAGAAAGTATGACACCTTTAAGGAAGACCAAGAAGTTCCAAAGGACCCAAATTTTAGGTCCACTCAGGCAGAGTAGGAGGCAATGAAAAAGTACGGTAGAGGCCGGCTCAGGGGGGGGTTCGGAGGCCACACAGAGGTTGTGAGTGAGCTATGGGGTTCTGCAGCACACCGCCGACCTAAGTCCCTGCTCGTTATGTCTTAGATGTGAGGTGCCCCCAAAGGCTCATGTGAGACAATGTAAGAAGGTTTAGAGGTGAAAGGATTCGCTTATGAGAGCCTTTACCCAATTAGTGAATTAATCCCCAAAAGAGCTTAACTGAGTGGTGACTGCAGGCTGGTAAGGTGTGGCTGGAGGAGGGGGATCACAGGGGTGTCCTTCCTTGTTGAGTGGAGCTAGCTCTCCGCTTCCTGACGGGATGTCCTGAGCCTCTTTCCTCTGCCACGCCCTTCCACCATGAGTTCTGCATCATCTCAAGCCTCAAGGAATGGAGCCAGCCTCCGATGGACTGAGATGAAACTGAAAGCCCCCAGATAAACTTTTCCTCCTCTAATTGTTTTTGTCAAGTCTTTTGGTCACAGTGACAAAAAAGCTGACCAAGAAACTGTTCCCCCACTTGCTATTTGTGAGGCCAGTGTACAAGGATTATAATTATTCCCTGTGGTTGTGAGATGGGAATGTATCCAAAATGTTTTACATGTAAAATTTGAGACATAGTAAAGCACTCCAATTGTAGCTGTGGGTGTTATATTAGGAAGCAGGGAGAAAAGCGGAGGGCATCTACACAATAGGAGAGTAACTAGGAAACAGTAAAATGATGAGACAAGGAACAACAAAGATCCAGACTTAGCAGTGAGACCAAAATGGGAAGGCAGATTTGAGAGTTCAGGATTTAAGCAGTAGAATCAATAGAATTCAGGAGTCCAATGCACAAGCACATTCCTGGAATCTCAGCAAATGCCTGGAATCCTAGCAACTCGGGATGCCGAGGCAGGATGATCACAAGTTCAAAGTCAGTCTTGACAATTTAGTGAGATATTTTCTCAAAATAAAAATAAATAAATAAATAGATGAATATAGCTGGTGATGTAGCTTGGGGGTAGAGTGCCCAGTGGGTTCAATCCCAGTACCACAAAAATAAAAAAAAATTAAAAGATGATTTAAAAAAAATCAATAGAATTTCTGTGTGACACAGTGAAAGTGGAGGGTGAGGAAGCAGGCCTTAATGTGACCCCCGGTGTCTCCGCTGGATGATGGACAACTGGTGATGAACTACATCAAGACAAAACAAAGAAGGATGAAGTCTGGGACAGAAGGTGATGTGTTATCTTTCAAATCTACTCTATTTGAAGTTCTGAAGACCTCCAGAAAATGTCCTGGTAGACAACTGAATGGCAGATCTCGGGCTCAGCAAGAGAGTCTGCACCAAGGACAAGGATTTTGGAGTCAACAGATGGTGGAAGCTGAAATCATGAGTGTGGCTGAGAGTGCCCAGACAGAATCCTGAGAGACCAAGCCAGAGGGCAGCATCCAGAGGGCAGCATCCAGAGGGCAGAATCCAGAGGACACCTATATTTTTTTTTTGGGGGGGGGGGCGCTAAAAGGAGTTCAAAGATGTGACAAGACAATGGAAAATGGAGACCCAAGAGTCAAGTAAAGAGAGTTGTACAAAGGAAAGGTTGGAAAACAGCATTAAAGTTGAAGAATAATAAAGCAGGCCAAACAAAAACTGTGGGCTATATTTCCAATTCAGATAATGATAATGGAGATGAAAGGAACAGACTTGTAATTTGAGGSAGAACCATCGCAGCTCAATAGTCAATCAGATGGGAATGACAAGCTGATTCATTACACATCCTGAGATTTGGATTCGGGATAAAGGAATATTAGAAATGGAGGTGACACTGGCAAAATTCTCTAACTTAATAAACTGAACAAGGGAGAAGAAGGACCCTGATAATAAACGAGGTTTCAAATGCTGGAAAGATGCCACGGGGTCCCAACTCAGACCAGGCATGCAAGAGGAGCAGATGTGGGAAGGTCTTTACTCCACAACCTCCCCCAGACACAGGGAGATGCCATCTGAATGAAAATCAAATCTTCTCCTTCTCAGTCTGATTTCTTGAATTTCCCTGTCACATTTTATACACTAGACTTATTTTTCCATTTTGAAATAGTTTGGCTTGTGGTCTTATGTTTCCCTTATTTAAGAGCATCAAAACCTAAGCCATTGGTAAATATACTGGAAGAATGAGAGCTACAGAAAAGATTTCCTAGTTTTAAAAAATGGATCAATAAATAAAAAGAACACATATATACATATATTCATATACATCATTAGCTATATGCTACACACTTGCACGCGCACGCTCATATACATACACACACACACACACAAACACACACACATACATTAGCATTAGCAATTAACCCTGTGGCTAACTCAGAATAGAAGAGAAACAGGTGAGTGGTGACACTATTATATTGTCACCAGAGCAAAAGAGAAAACCAGGGATGACACAAAAATTTTCTGTTTCTCACTTAGGTGAATAATGAAATCAGGAACAGAGGAAGGGAGTGGGAACTACAGAGTTTTGAATAAGCTAAGTTTGAGGCACCTACACAAAACCAAGTGAAATTAAGTCTGCTACTCGGGAAAGAGAATGAGGCAGGAATTTAAATCTGAGGCGTATGCCTATCTTATGGAAGGAGAAAGGTGACCCAGGGGACACCTAGTGAGAAAAGGAGGCAACCAGGACAGAATACTAAGGAATCCTGAGACAAGTCACAGAAAAGGAGCCCAGGAAGAAAACAACAGGCAGCAGCTGAGGGAGGGGAAGCCCCGGGGATGAGGCAACAATGCCACTGCTCAGGAGTGAGGACAGGCACAGGGCTCTGGGGCACAGCAGAGGCCTCCTGCCTGTGCGCGCTCAGGGAAGCAGAATGTTGGTCAGAGAGGGTTAGAAGAGAAGAAAAGGTACGGAGATTGAGTGACGGCCATGTCCAAGCAGCCGGGGCTTGCAAGGAAGGAGGAAAGATGCTAGGACTGCCCTAAGGACACGCTGCCAGAAGCAGCCCCGGGGAAGAAGAAACCTGACAAAGAAAGGGCTGGAAAAACTAGAGGAATCCACCTTAAACAGAGTGGGCCAGGGAAGATAAGGGAGATAAGGGCATAGGAGAGGCCTCAGACTACAGGAAGGCAGGGAACCTGTTTTCCTGAA